AGGTTTTTTCATATAAAAAAGTGACAAATTTCTTGATGTAATAAAAATTATTTTGAAAAGAAGTGAAGTGTGTGCTGTTCATTTATTGTTGAATTTATTGCTAACAAGTCACAGACACCTACAGTAGAAGAATCTTAAGCTCAACAACACAGTATATATTTATACTATTAAGAAGTACAAGTAAAAGCCTTTTATTTTGACAATTGGTGAAATATTATATTTTCATATTTTGACAGTGTAAGTACTGCATATTATTATACCTTCTGCTGTTATCATAACAAGGTATACTACACATTCTCACACAGCCAGTAAAACTGCCAAATGGCAAATTTTCAAAGTGTGTTAGACTTTGAAGCAGAGCTGAAGAAAAGTTGTAAATATATGCACCCAAAATTTTTCCAAAAGGTAGTTTTCATCAGATATGAAACATTTCTACAAAGAAAAGAGAGAAACATTCCAAATTATAATAAAACATATGCCTTGGCAAATAGTTTTAACTAGTATAAGTTAGGATGATCATCTCCAAGTTTACACAAAACCCTGAGTGTCAATACCACCATGGCGATAGTTCTCAGAAAATGCAACTTTATCAAGTTTTATCTTGTTATAATCTTCCCACTGTTTTTTATATACAGATGAAAAGGCTGGATGGAAATTTATCTTATATCAGCTTAGTATATTTCAAAACAATTAGAATAAATACAATAATTTCATCATACAATGACACCCACTTTACTGGTATTAATACGATTCTTAAGTAGAGATACTATTCTAAACATTATGGGTTAAATTTGCAAAACTCCAGCACCAGTATGCAGTGTAATAAACCAAATGTCTCTTATAAAAACATTATTAATTTGTGTGTGGGTTGTGCCATATATATTTCCAACTATTATGTTATTTGAAATAAAAAGTACCACATTAGCTCAATTACAGGGATATCTCAAATATACAAGGCAACTCCCATTTTCAGAAACCATGAGGAAAAAAAATTGAGTGTCATAATGTCCTTTTTTTAGGTCCATGAAATGCCCTTCTTGTAGAATGTGCATTAAGGGGTTCAGTCTTGTTTCCACCAATGCCTAGCTCATAACTCCATCGTAATCCTTTGTTAACTTGTTATAATCCTTTCTTGTTCCCTGTCTCTCAATGTGGTCACTCATTCTTGCACAAGGGTTAATCACTAAAATAAGACTTGCAGACAACAATTATATGATTTAAAATGAACACAGCCAAAGCAATATGCACCAGCAAAATCAATACTATGACTGAACACCCTGCAAATGGATTAGTTGCAAGAATTAGCAATGACCTTGAGTAAACATCTAGCACACATGCCTATAAGGATGCTATCTGGACATTCAGGAATGCAACAGGCTAGAGTACGGGAAATGGTCCTGTGGTCAGCCACAATTATAAGGCAACTATGAATTTTACAGCCAAATTATTAATAAAAAAAACACTGCTTTATAATTGGGCCAATACAACAATTATTAGTAAGTAAAAAGAAAAAAGTTTGGAAATTTATAAATCTAGAGTTGATTGATAAGTAAAATTTTCTGATCACTTAATCATCAGTCTCATTAAGCAACTACATTGGACTAAGTGATTACTTTCACATCAGACTTTAGTGGTTAGAATAATCAAATATAGCAATAATCAGAAACAATAATTTTTGATTAGTTGGTTATTTTTATCAGTCGTGACACTAATTGATTAAGCTGAACAACCTTTAAATTTACTAATGTCATGAAATCAAGTAATCAAAATATTGTTGTTACAACATCTTTATTAGTTTTGATTAATTAATCATAATTTTGATTATTTTACCTGATGCTAATAGATGTAATTGATTATATCAATTAACCAAGTTAATTACCCACCTCTATGCATCTTCATCCCAAAGATTTAAGCAATTGCAAAGTACTGTCTTGTGATAAATATACTACCGACTATAAGGTTAGCCATCACATGGGATAGATCTTAAGCTACAGCTAGATGAAATATGGGACATGTTCAGAAAGTATTAGACTGGACAAGTACAAAACATGTCAATATAGTTTAGTACTTTTAGCATTAGTTTGTTCAGATACATGAAACTGATAGAAACAAAAAGTCAATGGCCATCCATTGACCTAGTTATTTTTTACTATACTGTAATGTGCTTAGATATTTTAGTTTTAATCTTTCCCAGCTTAACATGTTAACAATTATCAACATGTTTTTCCAATTTTGTCATTTCTTCAAAAAGTACTAACACTAGCGACACACAGAAACCACATCCAAATCCTTATATTTGAAAATGGATATTTACATTGTATTTGGATATAATGTGACTGGTTGGTAAGCCTATGTCTAATGGTTACTTTTTCATCATTTAAAAAGAAATTTACAAAACTAATTTTTAATTCAAATTTCATTCATGAAAAGTTCTTCTGAACACTATATATTCACAAGAAGAAAAACAGACTATAAGCCTTGGGCCAGGCAAGGCTTAGCCATAGTTCCTCTGTAGCATCTCAGGCTATGGATCAGAAGGTCCAAAGTTTAAGCCTGAAATGTCACTGAACACACACACTGCATTTTTCAGTTAAACTATAGGCACATTATAAAAGACAATCCCATTATTAGACTAAGAGTAGCCATGTAGGCAGAAGGTGTTGCCAATTGGTTGCCCTTCCTCAAGTCTGTAGTTCTAATACTAATTCTAATCAAAGTTAGGAATGTCTATGACTGAACCTTGGAAACTAACTTGATCATTTAGCACAAGTCTTACATAAGATGTTCTTGTGAATTTAAAACATAAATAATTAAGAAGGTTTGTTCATGAAAGAAAACTGAATTAAAAATTGGTTTTGCAAAATAATTTGTGAATCTGAGAGAATAAAAGGAAAGCATAAGATATAGGCCTACCAACCAGTTTTAATTTAAACCTTCATAATTATGGCAAAAATTATTTATTTTGGGACCTAGAACTTGTATACAGTTTTTTATTTATGAGTATCAATGTCCCATCCTATTTCTATGCATGTATACATTATTCAATTATTGTCAATATCATTGTTAGTGTTAAGTTAACTGTTATGTATTCTGAAATAGTACTGAAGCAGATTCTCGTTAAGAAAAATAAATAAATTAGGTATTTACTATTTATTGCATGATATATTTAAAAATAAATCTTGGGAAAAAAAGAGTGTGTGTGTGTGCAAATTTTTGAAGTCTTTGGAAGTAAAAACTAACAGTGGTACAAAGTTTATTAAATCTAGCTTTATACTTTTATCCTTTTCTTTGATCTCTAACTTAAAAGTGCCATATTTTTTAGCAAATGTAAAAAAAAAATTCAGAGATGAATAAAATAATGTCAATGGTATAAAACTTGCAAGAAGAAACTAAACAGGTTAATAATTCAATTGCCTTTCTTCCTTAGTTGTCTATAATTATTTTATTACTAAGAAAAAGGCACTTTGCACTAACTTCAATCTTTGCAACACAATCTACAAAAGGTGAATGCAATGTATTTTAGTTGAATTTAATAAACCACCACAAAAAATGGCACAGTTCTAGTTATGTAAACTCGTAAGCTTGTTTGGCTTGAACTTTCAAAATCATTTACATCATTGCTTTATTATGTTCACTCTTAGTCTGACTACACTTTTAAAAATCTTGGGGCCCTTTCCTACAGTGCTAGATCTGCCAGGAACCCACCACCCTGCCAGTCCACCACTGTCAACATTGGTAAGAAAGTCACCTTCACAAGTTTCAGTTTCATAATCACATTTCACACTTAATCACAGTGACTTAAGTATGATTCTGAAATAAAGAATCCTAGAATAAAGATTAAAGTCAAGTTTAAGGTCGAACTAAGTAGTACTACTAGTAGAAGTAAAGGTCGTACTTATTCAGTACCATTGTGCCACGGTAGGGATTAAACCCCTATATTCAGCACTACAAACTCACTAAACTTTCAAGATAACCGCTGAGCCTCCTGGGAAGCATGAAATTTAAAATATGAAACTTAAAAGTACCTATGAAAATAAAAATTTAATAATGGTTATTCTTTCACTTTTAACATGTTGAAAGACACTTATTCCAATATTGTAATAATATTTTTATCAAATTATTTAAAACTTAACAAATAAAGATAACGCCAAATCTTTCCAACAAACCTGATCTAACAGTTCCACATGTACTTCAAATTTTCGCTTTGCACCAAACTGCTTTCTCACTGTCAATGATATGGATTAACGCGCCCTCTCACGATGTCTAGAATAATTTCATAATATATTTATTGTACATTTTAATCACAGGCAGTCTTCACATACAAGTAAAGATATCCCAGATGCTTAATGGATGTAGCTTTCAAGTTTAATCAAGTTATAATTCATTTTAAGGAGCGTATAAATTATAATGAATATATTGTGAATTTGTTTGTCGTTTGATGCCATTATTAATGTACACTATGACCAATGTTGCAAGTCCGTTTATTCTAAGCGAAATTGGGCTTTTTCTTTTTCTTCTTTTCTGAATTGATTATTTTACGACATAGTGAAAATTTCCCCTATAAACTAAATATCAGTTCAATTTTCTTGAAATAATAATGAACTAATGACAACGTTTTGCTTGTTTCCGTGTTTTTATATACGGTAAAATAGCTCGGGACAACAATTCACTTACGTTAACCTTGAATTACGAGTTGAAAACTGCTATTGTAGCTGTGTCATGTAACGACGTTGTGATGTAGTAACTATACAACCTTTTTTAAGTGTTTGAAGTTTTGTAATTTCTTTTAAATACACTGAAATGTGTATGTTAGCTTTCACTCTCTTCAAAGTAGAGTTTATTGCGAGTACATTAGATTCTGAGGTAACCTCGATAGTCCAAATTTTAGATAGGCGAAATTTATTCCAAACTTAGAATCTTTCACGTATTTTCCTTGATTTCTGTGTCTGTTTACTATTTCGATTTAAAAAAAAACAGCAGGTTTTTTTGATTTTCTTTTCTGTGTTTTTACTAACTGAAGTATAACACTATTGCTCGTATTTCAAATAATTTCGCTGTTCCTTTGTGATAATGATATTGTTGCGTCAGCGAGGTCACGTGACTAGTGTCACGCCACTCGTTCTCTCGAACCTTCGGGAATTGTCGGGAGATTACTAGATATAGGGTAAGCTGGTATATATAAGATGGTCACGGCGTGACGTGACAATGTGTGTAGGTAGTGAGTAATTGAACTGCAGTCAGAAAGTATTGTTGAAGTTCGTTGTTATAGCGTTTGTTATAGAGCGACTGTTGGAAATAAGTGTATCGGTAAAATTATATTCGGAAAGAATAAACCAGTTTTATTAAGAAAGGACTTGTGTCGCTAAAGTTTCGTGGGAACTAAGTTACGGAAAATCAACTAACGAACGGAGACGTAACAATATACAAACATATCCTATGTTTTCTACCTGCTTTAGTGACATATAGATTTTTTTTCGTTTATTTAGTTTGTATGCAATGTTAGTATAAACGCGTGGTCTAGTAAGTTGTTGAGATGGCCTTGTTGTAATTGTTTTGTTTTTGTTCTCTTGACTCTAAAGTAGATAATGTCTATTCTGTGACTTCTGTCTGAGTTGGATATTACAGTAGCATATAGCATCTGGGTTGAAAGGATCAGTAACTCTAATATATTTTCATTGCCGAGTTGATGTTTTTTTAATATTACAGCCAGCCAATACCATGTGGGAGAACAAGGTCACGAAGTGCCACTGTCAAATGGACAAAGCAATCGAGCTTATCTGTTGAATTAAGGTACGTTTTCTTGTTTCAGCTCAACTAGGAGATCACTGAGTGAATGTCTTATTTGAAAATCATTGTATTTTAATTCTACAGAGATCAATCCAGAGATAGTGAAAGCCGTAGGACTAAGTACAACCTAATAGAGATTCAATTATATTTCTGTTTGCTCAAGTACACACACTATGTTTTCTTGTGTTCTGCGATAAAAATTGTGTTCGTTTTTATGTATGCTAGGAAAACTCATTTGTCAGATTCAGAATTATTCTTCTTATTTCCTGAACGAATATACTGTTATTAGCATGTCTAACTATCTGATACTTCGGGAAATCAGTTTTTACCTGAGAACAGTTCAATGTTACTGCTAGTGTTTCGCGTTAATTTGTTATATCTTTACTGTTTCTAGTACAAAACAATTTTATGCATTTCGAATGACTTTTCTCTCTTGCTGTTGTCTCATTTGTAAGATTTAATACTCTTGCAGATATTTTCTTTGTCTTTTGTATCTGTTTATTATCTTAAATCTAAGAAAATAACTGGTATTTTACTTTCATTTTTTGTGTCTTTACTAACTGAAATATAACCTTAATGCACATATTTCACGCTATTTTACTTAATCTTTATATTTTCTAGTATAAATCAACTTTAGGTGTTTAAATTCAGTTTTCTTTCTCTGTATTGTCACAATTAATGTACAAATAAAAAATTTCCCAAGTTGTCCAGCGGTAAGTTTGAGGGCTTACAGCACAAAAATCGAGCTTTAATCCCATGGTTGTCAAACGCAGGTAGCCCATTTTGTAGTTTTACATTTAAAAACTAGAGGAACACTCAGTAGAGCGCGGACATCCGCCACGCAGTGTTTATCATATTCGGCTCTCAAAAATACGAAAATGTGTCCGTCGTTATAAACAGATATAGACCATTTTTGGCAGAACAACGAGGAATAATATTCTACATATGTCCTACAAATTTAATCAAAATCCGATATCTTTTTAATGAGCTATAGAGTAAAAATAGTGCTGAAAACCGGTCCCCATGTTACAGATAGGATTTTTTTTTTGATCCTCAAAAACTAAACACTTTTAAGTTGGGTCGTAGTCCAAATGTATACCAAGTTTCGTTCAAATCCATTCAGCCCTTTTCGAGAAATCTTGCTGACAAATACACACTCACACAGAGGTGAAAACTTAACCCCCGTCTATCTTCGGTGGCGGAGGTAACAAACAAATAGAACAAAAAAATAGACATTTAAGATTTTATTTGAAATAAGGTTTTATATTGTTACGACAGCGGAAGTCACGTGACGCTAGTAACACGTCGTGATATTCTCGAAGGTTCGTGAATGATCGAGTGTTTACTAGATGTGCTGTATTCTTGTATACAAGACTGTCAAGAAGTGACGGCAACAAGGGAATTGAATTGCAGAA